GAAAATTGGACTCGTAACTTACCAGCTAACATTTTTTTCCCCTCTAATTTCAAAGCAGCTGGAATATGGGCAAGAAATAAATGTATTTCAAAATTTCCTTATTAAAAAACAATCATAAAGTGGATGATTTTTGTGGATGATTTTTCAAAAGATTTCTGTGGGTAGATGGCTGTCCCATCACTGTACAAAAAAAAAAAAAGTGTTGGTTTATCAGTGTGCAGAGCAGAAAAGAAGAAACATCATTCCCTAATCAGGGTAACTGAAGATGAAGCATGAATAAGCATTAGATGTCAGGGAAAAAATGAGGGTTTTGACTGAAGGAGCCTGCACTGTTTTCCCTCTCTCCTGCTCCGAGCAGGCTGCGGAAAAGGGGGTCTGGCCTGAACGAGGCAGACGGGCCTGGACCCAGGAAGAGCAAACGAGCACCATGGGCTCTAGGAGTTAAGGAAGAAGCTTGAGGATTCTTTTTTTTCACTGAACTGTGCCTGTGGCAATGCCCTTACTCAGGGAGACCGCACAGCAGTAGCAAAGATAAACATATGGTTTAATCCACTGGAGCAGTTTGTTCATCCAGGATTTTTAAGTATCTGAGTAGAGGTGTGAATGTAGCTATGGGTGGGCAGTAAACTTTATTTATTTATTTATTTCTAAACTAGAGCTTTAATGACAAGGAAAAAAAAAGCCACAAAAAATCACCCCGAGAAATTTCAGTGAATGCTAGTCCAGTTCTCACAGTTCAGTTACCACGTTTTTAACACAAACTGTTCAGTAAAAGCTGAGTAGCAGCTGCCCAGGGGCTGTGCAAGGCCTGGCTGCCTGATGCATCAAGAGCAACCTTATCCTTAAGAGCACTGCTTCCCACATTACCAGGGAGACAAAACGGGCCATGAGGATGGTGTTTTCCGGTAAATAATAATACGGTTGTATGTTAGAATGGATAGACTGAGATTTAAGAGGCAGGGACACCCTCTCCCTTCACACAGGCCGCGGGGCTGCTGCTGCTTTTGAGCAGCGCCTGCAAGTGCTGGGCAGGGGGAAAAACAAAACAAAGCTACAGCGCAGTTGAACACATCATCCAGCAAAGTGTAAAAATAAGCTTTTCCCCAGGTTTATTTACTAAATTATTTCACATTCAACGAAATATTGTTACAACATTAATTACAGAGCATTATCACAATAGCAAACACTTTGGGAACACTAGTAAAGAACCAGAATGCAAGTTACAGTTATTTTCCTGTTAAACTCAAACGCCATTTTTGTAAACAGTAACAAAACCAGAACATTGCTGCTTAGAAAGATGTACACATAAAAACACTCCACGTACACAAAACTACTTACATCATTTTACACTCCCAACCAAAGCACTCTGGTCAAGCCCGAGTACAATTTGGTATTCTCTGTACAATTATTAAATCCTGCTAAAAATTATTTATTCTTGGGTTTAAAATACAGCACAGCGCATAAGGCAAAAAATAGGAATTATCATCCAGTTCTTTGAGTTGCAGTTAAATACCAAGAATTTAAGGCAAGCTTGGGCATTTTGCATTGTTTCATAGAATGAGTGGGGACTAACAGATGGCAAATTCACAAAGGTAACACGCTATCTCCCAGGAAGAGTTAACTGCTTGTAATGTGCCTGGGCGTCTCTGCCCCCTTAGAAATTCCCACTAGACTTTCCAAAAGAAAAGCATTCCTATCGGGAGCGACTTCAGGAAGCTTACACATCTTAATTTAAAGAAAAAAAACCTGAAAGCAGAAATCCTGGAACTATATGTACACATATAAACTCACTAGTCATTTTAAAGTGCTTTACAAGTAATTTGAGTGACTAAGAAATAGAACTGGATGATAATTTATAGGTGTGACATCATATTTGAGGATCCTTAATTTTTGAACTGCAAGACAGACATTGGAGTATTGTACTTTAAACGCTCATCGCAACGGATTGTTGTGTCTGATCTCCTACAACCAAGCACTTCAGTGAAGAGGACAACAAGCACCCAGAACAGAAAATAAAGCTGGCATGGTTGGAAGTGAGCGATCCCTAAGGCTGACACACTAACAGTTCATCTGAGCACGGCAGCGCTCTCCATGAGGTTTGCTTCCAATTCCCAATACCAATCCTGCTTACTGGAATCTTGCTTATGCACCTATCAAGTTCAGCAAAACCACATTACACAAGTTTGGTCAAACTCTATAGCCTAATTTAACGTCACTACTGCCTAGTTCCAGGGAGTAAAATATTTTGCACTTTGAAAGTGTCTTCAGATCCATAAATGCAAGATATTTATACAACAGCAAGTAACCATCCGCACCCCTCTGAACATAGCATTTTTGTTCTGCTGATGCTAAAGGCATTTCTGTAGCTCACCCTGCTGTGTACCTCCCCAAAACGCTGCTTACCGATGCGTCCAGTCGAGGCACGGGCAGCCGCATCCCCGCTCCTGGGCTCCGGGGTGGCCACACTGCGCACGAGCTGCGCGGAAAGCCTCCCGCCGCGCCAAGCCCTGAGCTGGACGCCTGACTGAGGACAGGGTTAAAGGGTTTTTTCTCTTTTTTTTTAGTTTAAATAGTAGTTTAAGCGTCTTTATTACCTGGTGCTTATTGGAAGCGACAATCGTTGGCCTCTCGGGGAAGCTGCAAGCGCAAAGTGAACGGGCGCACGGAGAGGCTCCCCTTGCGCCCGGCGGGAGCGGAGCGCAGCCGGCGGAGCGCATCCCGTCCCGCCCAGCCGCGGATTTGCTGCCGGAGTTACTCACGCTATTATTGCTACACAACAAGAATCCTTAGAGGGTCAGATAAGCAGCATAAAAATGCTGAATTGGTTATTTTTATTTGCTCTTCAAGTCCTGCTTCATTCTACCAAATTTGAAGAATACGCGCAGGATTTTATACAGTTTGTGCAAACGCCTGTGATCTGTGAATGATGTTTTATGATGAAAACACCCTCGTCTCCTTCACTGTTTAAAATCTGAACGTTAGCTTATGGAAGAACAGGGAAAACTACTGCTTGCCTGGCTGCAATGAGTTTTGCAGGAACTCAGAATAAATAAAGTACATGAAGAAACCTCCACTTAGCATACTTATAAAGAAATGGCTTTTAAAGCAACTATTTTGAATATTATTGCACCTTCAAAAATAATACTATATGAGTTTGAAAAACAAGGGGAAACAAACAATTTAATGCAATAAAACAAGAGGAAAATAACTCCAGAGGCAGAAAATTTCTTAAGTACCCGGTCTGGCAATACACGTATAGACAACAAAACAGAAATTGAAGATAATCATGATTCCTAGTTAAAAATCAGAAGACAACACGAAAACATGCTAAGTTAGCTAGAATTAATATGTATTAGCTCTTTTTAAAACGCCGCTAGTCCTGGCACGGCTCTCCGCTCCGCGGCGGGCAGCACGGGCCCCGTGTGGTGCTGGAGCACCAAGGGCTCCGTACTCACGGGTTTGAGAGACTGGGACGGTCAAACCAGATCTTATGGAGACACATAACGAGTGCAGGGCTCGCTGAGGACACGGCGTCCCTCCTGACAGTCTTCATAGGCACAATGTTCCAAGCAGGTTAGAAACAAAACAGCAGAAGGATCAAAAGGACCATGCGGAACGCAGACTGCGCGACCCCGGTAACAGCCTTCCGCTCGAGTCCTGCCTGTAGCACCATTTTCACACCGAACGCTCAACAAAAGCACTCGCACTCTCTGCTGCAAAGGGCCATCGTACGGAGCGCGGGCACCCCGGCGCTGGGCCAGGGAAGGGGGCTCCTCTGCAGGATTCTACACCACGCTCTGAAGGCTGCTGGGACGCTTCCTGATGTCTTACTGCAGGAATTTTTCTTTGCGTTACAATTACAGACACAGCAGTCTAGCAAGATTAAGTAATTTGATCTACTACTTATTTATCCACAAAAAAATAGAAGGGAAAGTTAAAAATGTGATTTATCTTTATCAGGTCCAAAAATGTCATAAGAGGCAATAAATTTGCCTTGTAAATTTATTTCTTTAAGTAGTTACCAATTATCATCCCAGCCCCCATACTGGTAAGAGGGTAACAGAGGAATGTACAGGCAACATACTACAGCATCTACTATTTACAAACCTTGAGATACAGAAACAAGGCAGCCCTTTAGTTACTGTTCATAAAAAAAATTATGAAGCATTGTCATATTCTTAATATGAGGACACAACCAGACTGCTATCGGCAAGCGGCCCAGTCACACGACGCACTCGCACGCCTCGCACCCCAAGCACAGTAAACTTCATGTTTCAGAGTAGGCAGGAGGAAGAGAAAAGCTCCAGAAAGTGATCGGGTTAGATAGAGAGTGAAGTTTCTGACCATACCCCAGGCAGGTACAGTACTCACTAAGCGGCTCTGCTGTTGGCAGGATGCTCTCTAAACCCAGCTGGCAATAAGTCTTCCGCTCCTTTTGCTTGTGCTGCTAAAATAACAGGCCAGTTACTGGAAGAAAACCAAACCTTCCTCATTTCAGTCATAACTTTACTACATTCTTCCTTCGGAACTTCAGAAAATGCAGCTTATGGTCTCCATGAGCAAGGTATCCTTCCGAGCAGATTAAGTTCCTTCTTCACATCAGGTCTGTAAATTCCTGTCTTTCAAAGTGCAGTCAAACCAAAATTGCAGCGACAGTACATCATACCCGCAGAGTCCAGCCAGGTGTCCGCGATCGGGTCGTATTTCTGTACAGTGTTCAGGTAGGACGAGCCCGAATGTCCTCCTACTACATACAGGTAGTTATCGATTACAGCTGCACCCACTCCTGTGGAAAAGGAGAGACAAAAAGATAGACACACAGTCAGCACGCGGGGAAATAAGTGGGACTTCCGTTCCTAACAAGTCACTGAATAAGTTAAAGGGTCTTGTGGGGGCCGTGTGGCTCCTCAGCTCAACACGGGGCCAACTCGGGCCACGCTGCTCAGGGTCAAACAGGGCCCACAGAGACCCCACAGCAGCCCCGGGCCCCCATCGAGCATTCGACCACCCTCGTGGTGATATCATTCACTAATGAGCCAGGATCTGTCTCCTTGCAGCCCCGCAGCAGGCACCCGAGCGAGGAGGCTCCTCCTGCCCATTGCAGACCCTGCTCTGCTGCCCCACGGCAGCTGCCAGGCAGCCAGCAGGGAAGGGGTTACCGGGGCCCCACACAAAGCCAGGTACAATCAGGCAGGAACTAGAGGATTGCTGCACTTCACTCAAAATCGGCAAAAACACAACAGCAAATTGAGTAAAAATACCACTTCATGTTATGTACAGCTCAAAAACTAAATCAGACTTTCATTAAAAAACTAGAGAAGTGTGTACTTGAGTAATTTATATATTTGTTCATTGAACTGATTTATGGATCTGCAGCCCAAGTGACAGATTAAAAATGCTCTACAGAGAAGTCACCACAGCCCTGGTTTGCTACAACCTCCACTGCATCAAACGGTCGTTTCCTTCTCCCGAGGTAACCGCCCAGTGTCCCCACCTGTCCTGGGCTCCTTCATGGGCCTGCACACCGTCCACTGGTTTTGGTGGGGATCGTATCTCTCGATGCTGGACAAGTGAGACACTCCGTTGTGCCCTCCCACGACGAAGATGAAGCCCAGCATGACGCCGACGCCGAAGTTGATCCGTTTATCGGCCATTGAAGCTACCGTCTCCCAGGAGTTCTTGCTCGGATCGTAACGCTCCATGCTGCGAATGCAAACACACACCTTGTGAGACCTGGATTTCAACAACATTTGTATCTCACTCCACAAGAAATCTGCATTTGCCAGAGACTCGCCGGGTTCTGCCAGCTAGTACTGTTACACAGACTAACAAGGTAGCACGAAGCAAAGGTGCTCGTGCCACGGGGCGCGCGGCCGCCTTGCACGATGCTCAGCGCACGCACGTGCAGCCCAGGCTCCTGCAGCACCGCGGAGCCAGCGCGGCCCAAGGTGCCAGAAAGCTGGAAGGACTTTCTCCTGACAGGGCAGCTGCCGGGCTGCCTCTTCTCCAACGCCAGGTTACATTTTGAGACAAATTACTGCTACTATTTATAAAAGCAACCCATGGAAAACTGAACATAACGCAGCTCGGAAGTGAATTTATTAGAGGAAGACTCCAAACCGAAAGGCTTCCCTGTGGCTTGCCTGGAAACAGCAGACGGAGGAAAGAAAGCTTGCAGAGCACATCCCTCAGGAAAGCTGCGAGGAGGGCGCCGACGCCGCCAGCTCTCGGGGCGGGCCGAAACGAGCTAACAGAAGAAAAGCAACACCCGCCGTGCCTGCCACCCGCGCAGCCCGCGGACACGAGGGCAGAGCGGGGAGCAGCAGGAGCACGAAAGGCGCAGGCGGCTTCCTGCAACTCCTGCAGCTTGGGGGAGTCCCCCGAGGGCGCAATGCAGCGCGTGACTCGTGTGCTTGAAAGTTAGGAACACCAAAAATATTCAATAAAAAGGGAATATGCTGAAATATCCACCAACTCTATAATGCTTTAGGAGTTGCTAGCAATTCCTTTTTGACTGAAGAAAAGATAAACATGACACAGGAGTGAGGCTGCTGCAGAATTTTAATGTTAAGACTTTCGCCTTTAAAGATGCCAGTTTATTAAAGACACTTCCTATTTTCCCAGAGATGACCTTTATTTCCTGAAAGGAGGTAAATGAATTTGGCCTTCAGAGGCCCGCGTGCACCCTGAGCATTCATCTTTTGGGCACCACTTCTGACAGCAGCAGGAGCTTGATTGCTTGCCCTTTAGGTCCCCTCGTGCAATGAGGTGACAGCAGAGTGGTGTCATGGAGGGGCCGCGTGAGCTCTGCCTGACCTGCTGCTATTGGGGACAGCTCTGAGCAACAAGGGTCACACAGAGCCAGGAGGGACCGCAGGAGAACAGGGAGCTGCAGTTATTCCAGGTTTGCCTCCCATGAGAAGAAAGCCTAGCTGCATGGAGAACACTTCAGAGATGTTTTTCTTGTCTATTAAGCACTTTCACTTGTTACTACGGTTTACAATCTGAAGTATAATTCTGATTTCTTAAAAAAAACATACTGAGTTTAAAAAAAATCCCATCACAACCATAGCAAGCTGTGTAAGTTATTACATGTTTCAGGAATTTAAAAGATGCTCCTTATTTTCCATTTGAAAATTACATAGCTATACTTTTCTATTTCTATCCTTTGCTTCATGAGCTATTTTATATTAAGGCATTTCTGAAGAAGATAACAGCATATCAAGTATGAAAAAATAAGCAGAATTAATGACCAATGCAGTATTTTACTGTAAATGGTCAAGTGGTTAAAAGACTGATGTATCCCGTTATCAAACGTAAGCCCTGCTTTCCTACAAGCAGGAGCTTTCATTTTACCTTTCATTCAGCCCTTTAGACTTTAACTTAAATTTGCTTCCTGGAGGGACACAAAGCTGAGGTACTCCCACTGCTTATGATGGAAAGAGAGTAAAAATCACTCCTTTGCACCACTAAGTGCTCCAGAGCATCGGTGCGAGCGCCGTGGCACGCGGCGACGCACGGCGCTGCTGCCAGGAACCTCCGCGCGTGCCAGGGCCCTGACGCCCCGCTCTGCCCACGAGCTGCATCCCGGGGTCACCACCAAGGCAAGTTCCTGGCGCAGACGCGTGTTTGTTTGGGAACGTTGGGCACACGAGCCATCCCGCCCGTTTCTCGTCATGTTTTAGGTGTTTAAGTGACCCGTGCAACCTCGCGCTGTGCAGAGCCGGCTGCAGGGGCCCGCGCAGCAGCAGCGGGGCTGTGCCAGGCCGGGCTCTCCGGGGAGCTGCGCGGGCACCGCGCTGCGCCCGCGGCGCTGCCGCTGCCGCGGGGCCGCAGCTCGTGCCTGCACACACTGCTCTGCCCAGCTAACCCGCTCCAGGGGCGCAGGGCACCCTGCAGCACCGCGCTACGTGGATACACCTCTGCACCAACCTTCCTTCCTCGAGCATTTAGGCAAAAAGAAGACAAGGAAAAAGCAGCAGCTCTGAGCAAGAACACAGTTAAGACCATACAGAGGTTTCCCAGCTGAATAGCCAGGCTTACCCTGTAGATCAAGCAATAGTGAAGGCCACTGCGGATCTCAGAATATTTTTTAACTGACTGCTGAACACAAGCTTCACAACGAGCTCTGCTGATTTCTCGCTTATGCTACTGAGATGCACTATCAGAAGCACGTACCTGTTCATGTGGGCAGGACCATAGCCACCAATGGCATATATCATTCCATCCAGGACAGCTGCAGCAAAACAGCTTCGCGTTTTGTTCATAGGGGCCACCAGCTGCCACTCCTTCACTTTGGGGATGTATTTCTCCACGGTGCGCAGGTAGGACTGCCCGTCATAGCCCCCTAGGGCATAGAGCTCTCCTGCTAGGACCACCACTCCCAGATTACTCCGGCTCTCAAACATCCTCTCCAGAGACGTCCACGTGTTCGTGTCGGGGTCCCAACACTCCACTGAGTTCTCGTGCTTTCGGTAGCTGATGCCTTGACACATGTGGGTGGCGATCCCTCCTACGACGTAGATCTTCTGGTCTAGGACACATATTCCAAACTCGCAGCGGGGGATGCTAAGAGGTGCCAGGCCGATCCAGGAGTCATTCTGAGGAAAATACATCTCAACGCTGAAATAGGAAAACGAAGACTACATGAGCAAAGCCAGATCTCTCAACAGCAAAGGAGCATGGTTCTAATGGCGTAGCTCGTATTTCCCGTCCCACGTTTGCCCAGCACCGGCCCTATCAAAGGCCATTTGCTGCTCTTGAGGCCAGAGGCCAGGGCTGCCCAGGGCAAAGCGCTGCGCGGCCACGAGGCAGGGACCACGGCGAGCCCAGCACCCGAAGGAGACCGTGACAAGTGCCAGCCAGGCACACTGAGATGGCACGAGAACATCGCGGACAGTGCGAGGGAACACGACGCCGGGCTAATGCATGAGCACAGGAGGGGTTAAAAAAAAAAAAAAAAGAAAAAGAAACAAGAGAAAAACAACCCACACATTCAAAATTCCGGACAGCCACAGAGATGAGAGAGAGAGAAGATGAGAGTAAGAAAGGGAGGAGCCCATGTCTATATATACACACGTACAAACACACACTTAGAAAGTATAATGGGTAGCTTTGTAATTACATCTTTTACATACACTGTATAATTTAAGGAAACATCACAAAGCACAGCATCTTAAGTTTGGAATATTTATATTTGAAAAACTAAGCCTGTATGTATTCTTTTTAAATTGTACCCGGTTTTAAAATAAGAACAATCTAGGCCACAGTGTATATAATATAGTTAACCTATCTAAACAGTTCAGTTAATGCTCTAGTTAATTGAAATGAATGTCTAGTTTTCAAGAAAATATGTACAAAAATAAAGAACACAAAAATGAAGCCATTGAGGAGAGGAAGCCACAACTAGAAGCCCAGAAGCAACAACTGCTGAAACACCAGCCTGGCTCTTGGCAGCAGCAGCCAGGCAGAAACGCCTGGGTCTAAAAGTCTGCTAAGTAACTCTGTAATTCTGGTACTAGGTGGCAGTGGTTGGCAATAAGTGAAAAAAAATAGCCTTCCTGTAAGTACAGATGAAAATTAAAATCAGAATAGTGGAATAGTGTTTCCTAATTGCCACTTTGAATTGTGAGAAAATTGGGGAGCTAAATTTTGACTAATTTTACTGATCTGTAACATTTTTATACATCAAGAGCAATTGCTTAGACTTATTTAAATGACAGCTTAAGAGAGATTAGTGTAAGTAATAAGGGAAAGTCAGTCCAGCATGCATTAGCAAGAGTAAATAGCCACAAATAAATGTTTTGGTTTAAAAAACACATTGGAGTGTAATATTGACACGATCATTACAGAACCTATAAAGGATAGGGCTGAAGATTCATTGTCGTTGGACTACTTCACTCAAACAGAAATGGATTTGTTATTAGACTCACAAAATCCTTTGTGTTTTCTAAATCTTTAAACTCAACTCCTGGGCCCAAAGTCTAGTTCAATGTTGGTCACTATTGATCAGGAAAGCTAACTTTTAATAAGTTAACATCTAGGAACTTATATAAACACAGAAATACACAGATATTCCCTGGCTTTCAAAGACACAGTAAACTCTTCCTTAGTGTTAGTAAGAGCACGTTCGACATCAAGGTATTACATGTGTAGGTGTAAATATGCACCTATATATACACACCCCCACAAAGTCTAACCCTCACTTCTGCAAGTGTTAATACAGTGGTACAGCTTAACTCAATACTACTGTGTTTTATGTATTTAATTTCTTTTGCTCAGGTGAGTTTCACTGATGTAACAGTCTACTGGGTCTCCAATAACTTCAATTATTGGAAGGGATGTGGTCTAAGAAATAGGGCTAAGAAGAAAGATGCACCCTTACCTGTCTCGGCCAGCATGGATATGGGCATCTGCTCAGCAGCAAGGGTTATATTCATGGCTATACTGCAGCCAAGAATTTAATGTTACTAAGAATTACCTCCTAGCTCTGATTAATTCCAAGCACTTTTGAGTTATCAGGAAGCGTGTTTTCCACTCCCTCTTCCCCATTTTTCAAAAAAAAAATGTAGCTAAAACTTTATGATTTGAGAGTCTATAACATTAGTAGACAAGAGAAAGTTACATAAAATGGAAAAAAATCAATAAAACACATACTGAAAATAGTGACATTTATTATCAAAATTATTCAGCAGGTGCTTGCAGGCGTGGTCGTCACGGATGAGATGGTTGGCTTCGTACAGCCGCGTGAGGAACTTCACGCTCAGCAGCGGCAACCGCACGCAGTGCAGCAGCTGCGCCAGGTACTTCTGCCGCTCCTGCACGTCGTATTTGATCCAGGACTCCAGCGCGTAAAAAACTGTCTCTTCTGTCACGACATTCAAGCAGTCATTGGAAACAATTTCATCCAATTCCGAGTGCGTAAGCTCAAAAAATTCTTCCGTCTGGCACACATCTTCAAAGTTCTGACAAACGTATTTGTTGGCAGCCAGGTAGAGGTCATGGCAGCCGTAGGTCTCGGCGAAGCGGGCAATGCCGATGCAGTTGCCAGGGTCGAGCTGGCTCTCGAGGAAGGCGCAGCACTCCTTCACCACCAGCTTCACCTGCAGGAGGTTGGCCGCCGGCAGGAGAGACTCCACGGTGTCCTGCGAGATGAACACGGTGCCCGTGTAGGCGTACTCCACTATGGCCTGCAGCGCCGCCTCGTCCATGCACTGGAACTCCACCTCCGCGTTCTCCTTCTCCGACAGGTTCCCCGTGAACATGGCCTTGAAGTAGGGGCTGATGCTGGCGAGCACCACCTTGTGCGCGTGGATCTTGACATCGCCAACTCTCAGGACAATGTCACAGAGCTCGTGATGCTGGCGAAGGAGGTTCAGGCCTTGCAGAAGCTGCTCGGAATGCAAGTGGGTTAGGTTGGCAAGCATGTAGGTTGGAGACGGCTGGTCCATCTGCGGAAACAGAATTTTTAACGTATTACTCAGGTTTCATTTTCAACAGTTTCATTACTCACAGAACTTAGACACGCTACATATAACATTTAAAAAATTTTTCCATTTAGGTTTTTCTTTTCTTAATTAGTATATTACTTCCCAATTTACTTTTAAATCCTTATGCTCTATGTTTTTTTTAAACACAAGTTAAATGTAGGACAATCCCAATGTTTATTAATCGCATATGCTATTTTAAGCTTTTATTACGAAATGAAAAAGGAAAAAAGGAAGACTTTTTGTGCCCCGTGATGTTATCTGGAGTCTAGACTACCTGGCAGGAGTCTGCATCAGATATTTAAGAGAATTGCACAGCAACTGGAATAAAAATAAAGGTCTGGTTTAACTGAAACAAACTTCTAAAAGTTCTTAAACTAATTTGTGCTGCTAACTACAGAGGCCCTCGTCAGTGTGATGTGCAACGTCTGCAAAAACCTGCTCAAAGCTCTGCATCACTGAACTGCCCTTATAATTCTCTCCAATGAAACGCCAGGCAGAGAGGAAAGCAGCACCTCTGTGCCTGGACAGGGAGGGGGAGCCCGGCCCTGTTCAGAGCGAAGCTCTCTGGAAGGACGCGACGTGTCCTCCTCTTCCCGCAGGATCTCTGCATCAATTGCACTGCTTTAGGAGGCGAGGAGGTTTCTGAGGCCTCAGAAGGCCCTCCCGGCGGGTCCCCACGCCGGGGCTGCGCGGGGCTGCCCGCGGGCGCGACGGTGCTCCAGGCTCAGCGCCCCTTCCTCGGCACTAAGGGCGCCACGAAGGGCCGGAACGGCTGTTCTGCAAAGAGCATCGCAGCCCCCAAACCGTTTGTTTTTGCAGTTAAAAAGATGATTAAATTTTATTTTGCTAAATAATTACACAGACTTCAAAACATCACTTCCTTTATTTTACCCTTAAAAATGTCATCATTTTTACAGCTCCTGAACTGACACCCAATCTGCAACTGTCCTGCTCGGCGAGTGCTTTAACCGGAGGAACACAACCCGCCGCCGACACCCGGACGCAGAACCCAGCGGCGCTCACAAGGACGCGCGGATGGGGAGCTG